AAAGGTGCCACAGGACCTTCTGTTGCTTTTTATCAATCCAAAAAGAAATTTTGAATTTTTAAAAGTTGCAGGTTTTACTCAAAAATGGCCCTATCTTCAAGCGAAGAAACAGTCAGTCCTGAGCCTGTAATAAGTTCCAAGTGGGTACAGCATCTATATTTTCTAGGTAGGTTTTTTCACAAAATTAGATACATTTTCCAGAAACTCAGAATGAAATGTCCTAATAAAAGAGGTTTCCTAATTTCACTTTGAATTTGATGACATACCTTTAAGGGGGTGTCTGCACTGCAATCAAAGATATGATTGTAGTTCAAGCAGGCATACCCGTGCTCGCTTGCATCTAGCTAGCTCGGCTAAAAATAGCAATGAAGGTGGAGCAGCATGGGCTGTACATGCCTGCCCACAAGCTGGGTATGAACTTGCATTGCTAGCCTGCATGGGGGTCCACGCTGCCGTGTCTTCACTGCTATTTTGAGAGTTGTGCTAACTAGATTAAAGCTAGCATGGGTAATCCGTGCTGCAGTGCTGTATGCTGAGCTGCAATCATGCTTCCAATTACGGTGTAGACATACCCTCTACAGTATATAAACCATCATATATTTCAGGTTATAAATCCCGCTAAACTTCTCTGCATTCTAACGTCCTATTTTCACAGTAATTGATGGTCACCTCCCTTACCTTTCTGCTGAAATATAGCAAAGTGGAACTGTAGTATGGTATTTCAATCTTGCTCATTTTTATTTAGGTTTAAAGCGCTGCTATCTAGCAAACCCTCAGCTGAGAACACTTGTATTGAGATCAGCTATGTGAAGTACCCCATATTTCAGGTAAAGTCTGTGCCCACAAACCATCCGAATGGCATGTGTGACATCAACAGTTGTATGTACTCTGCACAAATTAATGCAATTACATTTAGTAAATTAATCATATCATACCTTAGAGTAGTGGTTTCATAAGCAAAGGCCTCAACTCCCTTTATATAGTAACCTGCATTATAGTGCTGATTGTAGTCAAATAACATGTGAGTGACTAGATTTAACTATGTACATTTCACTTCTATAGTCTTTGAAGACAGAGCAGGGCATTTCAGTGGAACATCTGCATAGACTTTTGGGTTTTTTTTCTCATGTTTGATATTCCTGCATGTGCACACACAAGCTTGGAGGATGTAGAGGCCTTTCTTTTCCTAGCAATATTTGTTTGCTCAAATTTTGTAATTCCTTCTGTGAAAATGTAGAGCCAAACTTATCTGTCTCGCCTATTGGGCTAGATGCAGTTTATTCAAAAACTTGCATGCCTAAGAAAAGTTTATTTTAACCAGAGCAATAACAGTTCCATTTACTGATTGTTAGAGCTGCAGATATTTTTCAGTGTCACTTACAGCTGCCTGCAATAACATTTAAACTTAATCTAAGTTTCCTGAAAAGAAATATTATTTGGCCCATGTTACAATGCAAAACCCCAGCACAAACCTTCTCACCAACCATGCTTGCCTACAGAAGTGTGGAAAGGAGGGAGTGTGGTTTCCCAGAAAGGGAAGGAATCAGGGAACAGCCACTATATGTGGCATGTTCTCTTGATTAAGTGGTGTAAAAACAGTATCAGAAAATGAATGAGCCAGGATCAACTTGTCCTGTGAGCTACCTGAACCTCTTTGGAGAGTTACAGCACTGTGGCTAATAGGGATTGGGAGAGAAGCCATGCTACCCGTGAAGAGAAGCCAAGAACTGTGCAGAGACAGAGAAGATGTCCATGTATGGCCTGACACCTGCAGGTTTTTGACCGGTTTGACTGACAAATCCATAGCCCTGCACATTGTTTGGTAGCCACACACGCCTTCTCCCACCACACCATTCTCATGATGCAAAGTTAAAAATGCTGCTCACGAGTAGCTTTTCCAAAGTGGCTTATTTTTCATAGTAACCTCTTCCCTTTCATGTGTTTTACTCAAGCGGAAATGACATGGTTCTATGAGCCTCACCATGTTACACTAATGACAATGACCGCTGAAGCAAAGGGAGGCAGGATAGTGAAAGGCAGTAACATACACTAACTCCTCACTTAACATTGTAGTTATGTTCCTGAAAAATGCAACTTTAAGCAAAATGATGTTAAGTGAATCCAATTTCCCCATAAGAATTAATGTAAATAGGAGGGGTTAGGTTCCAGGGGGGAAATTTTCACCAGACAAAAGACTATATATAGATAGATAGATGGATACACACACACACACACAGTATATGTTTTAAACAAACAATTTAATACTATACACAGCAATGATGATTGTGAAGGTTGGTTGAGGTGGTGAAGTTAGAGGGTGGACGAGGGTGGGATATTTCCCAGGGAATGCCTTACTGCTAAATGATAAACTAGCTGATCCTTCCAGGGTTAAAACATTGTTGTTAATGTAGCCTCACACTAGGGTTACCATATTGAAGTCCTGGAAAAAGAGGACACTCCAAGGGGCCCCGGCCCCGCCCCAACTCCGCCCCTTCCCCAAAGTTCCCACCCCAACTCCGCCCCCTCCCCTGAACGCTCCGCCCCCTGCTCCTCCCCCTCCCCTGCTTCCCGCGAATCAAATGTTTGCGGGAAGCCTGAAACAGACAGGCAGGCAGCAGGTAAGCTGGGGCGGTGGGAGCGGCAAGCTTTGCCTGCAGAGAAGCTGACTATGGAGGTTGCGGAGGGGAGCTAGGGTGCCGAGCACCCCCCTCGCCGGGCCCCCCAGGCGGGGGGTGAGGTGACACCTCCACATGCCCCGGGCCGGGCCGAGCCCGGGTCCGGGTCCCTTTAAGAGTGGGGCCGGGCTGAGCTGAGCCGGCAGGGGGTGGCTCCGCTCCCCGCTGCAGGCTGATGCCGGAGCCTCCGCTCCCCGCTGCAGGCTGATGCCGGAGCCTGGGCTGAGAGCCCCGCTTGTCTCCTGCACCAGCTCCGGGCAGAGCTTTGCTGCGGCTCCCCCAGCCCCCAGGGCCGGGCTGCCCCATGGTAGGGGCGGGTTGCTTGAGGCAGGGCAGGACCCGGTGGCGCCGAGGGCTGAACTGGCCCGGCAGGGCAGTGCGGGGGCTGCTGGAGGGGGAAGCTGGGGAAGGGGTGGCATGGCCTCAACCCCCTGGGGCTGCCTGCCCCACGGAGAAGGCAGAGGGGCACAAGCCGCAGCAGGACCCCAAACCCCCGGGGGAGGGGATCTGGGGCCAGCCCGGGGAGGCAGGAGCAGCCCCGGGGGTGCTGGGCGCATGCAGGGCAGAGCCCCGGGAGAGCCCTAGCACCACGGCGGGCAGCGCTGCAGAGGACCCCGCGCCCCTCGGCGGGCAAGGGGAGCCCCAGGCACACCCACCTCTCGTGGCCGCTCCATGCTGCTCCTGGTACCGCTTTCCGCCAGCTCGGCTGCCCTGTCAGCCACTTTTGGGTCTTTAAATAGCCATCCAGGGGGAAATCCCAGACATTTTTAGCTTTTTAAAAATTCCCCCCGGATGGCTATTTAAAGACCCAAAAGCCGGACATGTCCGGGGAAACCCGGACGTATGGTAACCCTACCTCACACTCTACAAGGCAGCACAAATGGCGGGAGGGGAGACAGCATGGCAGACAGAGACACACCGTGTGTGTGAGAGAGAGAGAGATGCGCATTGCCCCTTTAAGTAAGCTGACGCCATTCTAAGTACATTGCCTTTTTAAGTAGATCAGCAAGTTGAGACAGCAGCTGCTGCCAACAAGCTCCCTCCGTCCTGAGCTCTGTCGTGTCCCCTCCTGCTCTATAGAGGTGGGGTAAGCGGGGAGGCAGGAGCAGGGGGGAGGGAGACACCCTGACATTAGCCCCCCACTTCCCCACACAGCAAGACGGAGGCTCCTGGGAGCAGCTCCCCAGCAGAGGGCAGGAGCAGCACATGGCAGTGAGAGGAGGGACAGCTGAACTGCTGGCAATTGATAGCATTTTGGGCAGCTGCTGCACAGGGAACTTAGGGGAGCGGGGAGCTGATAGGGGGGCTGCTGGTCCACTCTGGTTCCAAGCCCCCATCAGCTAGCTGCAATGGGCTGCTCTTTCTGCAAGCAGTGGACAAAGCAGGCGGCTGCCAAACACTGTTATAAGGGAGTATTGCACAACTTTAAACATGCATGTTCTCTAATTGATCAGCAATGTAACAACATTAACTGGGATGACTTTAAGTGAGGAGTTACTGTATGTAGTGAACATTTGTTGTCTGGGATTGCTTTTCATAAGCAAACAGTCTCTTTGTTTTGTTTCAGCTGGTTATGCAGTATCTTTACTATGGCGGTGCAGAATCACTCCTAATTAAGAATAATGAAATAATGGAGGTAAGAAATATTTTACTTCATTCCGATGGGAGTTACAATAAGTGATCTCTCCAGTGTTCACATAGCTGCACATGGAAATGGTCTCTAGCAAGTGCTGGCAAACAGCAAAGAACTCTTCACCAGGTGGTTTAGTTTTCCCCATGTCTTCAGTGGCTTCTGTCTGCACTTTTTGAGGAAAGGAATGAAAACCTGCTTTCATTTCTTCCTCCAGTCTCAGACTGTCTCTCCACCACTTCTTCCTGCTTCCCTGAGTTCATAGTCGATCCTCACTGAGGTGCCACCACTGTGAATACCCAGCTTGTAGCCTCCACCCCCAATTCCAGTTAACGTAAATAAAAGTAGGTTTTATTGGACATAGGACAGAAAAGAGAAAGAAAAATCCCAAAGCAAAAGATAATTTGAACTAAAACATCTGGCCAAACACTCTGAGAAACTCTTCTAGTAGAGCAAAAAGCTTGTGTTACAAAATATGGAAATATTCCCCTCACCATGGTACAACAGCCTCATTCCTTTAGTCTTAATAGGATGTCTCTTGCCGCTAAATCAGTCTATTCCCCTTTCCAAGCTGTGTCTCTGGGGTTGTTAGCTAGGAGTCAGATGTCCAGAAAATCAGAATAATCTCATGTGTAGTTCCTCATTCAGGAAGATATGAAAGCATATGCCTAACTTTAAGCATGTGAGTAGTTCCATTGAAGTCAAAGTTCAGCTTCAAGTAGCCATATGCTTAACTGTGTTGCTGAATTGGACCTTAAACTGCCTCCTGAGATGGAGGGAAGGAGGAATCTTTTTTTATCTCAAAAGCTTATCCTCCTGTCCAAGGAGTCCAGTTACACGTTGTCATCTTCCCCCTCATCCTCACCCCAATCAAATGTGCATAACTGTATGGATTTTAAGTGATCTCCTTCCAAAATTCTGTGCATTGTTATTATCAACCATTGTTCAACCAAGTGGCTCCCAATAAAACACAAATAAAGGCATGTTTGGGCAAATTCCTCGCCAGTCTGAGCTGGAAGCGTTCATATCCACAGCATTCAGGTTATATCAGGTAAAACTAATATAGGACACTAAATATTAAAATCACTGATATTTATACAGCTGGTAAAAATCATAGTGCACAGATTATATAGAATCTGCCACTATGTTATTGTGCAGTATGAGACACCCAAGCAAAGGTGAGTTTTGACAGAGATAGCGCTACTAGAAACTAGCAGCAATTGGGTATGATTGGCCAATGAGAGTCTATTTTGGTGGGTATCGTAACCCTTATAATAATCCTGCTGAGGAAGTTTTGGAGGGGGAAGTATTTGTATAAGTAGACAAAACTGGAATTAGTCCTCTCCAGTTCGGTGCAGTTTTAACTAAGCTCACTTGAATTAACTTCCTTTCTCTTACTAAAACCAGCTATTTTTCAAATTCATTCCCACAACTTTGCAAAGAGGCCTATAAACCCTAACCCTTCCTGCGAAAAGTGTTCTCAAACTAGATAGGACAACAGCTTTACAGATATAGATCTATACACATAATCAACTAGGTAACACCCCATACCTCTTTCTGAATCAAGACTCTCTCTCTCTGTGTGTATATATATATATATATATATATATACACATATATATACCTCCCCAACAGTTGACTTATATGGGTGTCCAAGTCTGGCATATGGCCCTCTCTGTGTATATATATATATATATAGAGAGAGAGAGAGAGAGAGAGAGAGACTTCCCCAACAGTTGACTTATATGGGTGTCCAAGTCCGGCACATGGTCCCCTCTGAGGGCATTCCCATGGGCTTGACTGTCAAATATGGCAGCTGTGTTGGACAAAAGGGGGGGGGGCGCTGTTGAACAGCCTTGTAAAGACTATGCAGCTGCCTAAGAGAAGGCTCCTAATCTCTCAGGATTCCCTTTGTTTCCTGTGGTTTAAGAGCCCTTGTGGACCACAGGTCTGACTCCTTGAGCCACGGTGGCAGCTGGAGCCTGGATACAGCCCTAGTTTTCTAAAGTTATATTTAGCAACTTGCTTTATTATAAATGTGGTAACAAGAAGCACAGAAAATACTGAAATCTTTGCTGCAATTCATAATTGGGGCCAGCTGGCTGCTGTCACATCAGCATTGCAGATTTTCCAGATTTGGGATTTATTTAGGGGATTAGACTAGAGCTGGAGGTGAGTGGATGGACAGGGCCAGAACAACTTTCTAACAGTTTTTTCCTAACAGCCCTGGCTTGCAGTGTGAGGGCACTGTTGGGTTCCACTGAGCAGCACTTTGTTGGGTATTCCCAGTGATAAGTGCTATGTAAATGCCTAAAGATAGAGCTCCCAGCTCAACCTGATATATGTGTATTGATCAGAGCAAACTGCGTAGCGCTGAAGAACCCCTGCTTACCTTCTAAGCAAGAAAGGAGGGGCAATGGGACCACATTTGGAAGGAGAAAAAGTAGAGCAGGAGCTCTTTCACAAGCCAGACAGCAAGGAAAAGAGGCAGCAGGTGAAATCCTGACCCCATAAAAGTCAGTGGCAAAACTCTTGTGGATTTCTGTGGAACCAGGATTTCACCCAGCAGAGCTTGTTGTCTCCCCCCAGCCAGAAGAGGGATTGAGTGGAGCTCTGCCTGCACTACCCTCTTCCACCGGCTGAGAGAAGAGGTTTGAACCCACTTGGTTTTGTGGATTTTAAGGCCAGAAGGGACTATTGCAATGGTCTAATCTGACCACCTGCATAACACCTGCCATAGGTTTTCAACCTGTAATTCCTGCATCAAGCCCATAACTTCTGTTTGTGCTATTGCAAAAAGCAGGGTTGAACCCTGGCTATTTGTTTCTAATGTGTAGCTGTGCAGATTCTTCCATTCAGAGTCACATTTTTGGAAGGGCTGTAGGCTTTCATGGTTATGCTGCTTCCTCGATAGTGCCCTGAGGTCAGGGGAACTTATACACTTCTGTCCCCGCACCCCAAAAATGGCAGCATCTGGATCTGAGTGCTCTGTTTGCCACTCATCACTTACCGACAGCTGCTCATCATAGTCTGAGCTGTTATGTTATTTCCCTTTGTAACACTGAAAAGGGTAAAATCAGCAAAAGAACTTTTTCTTATTATGGCAGTGAAATGACTGATAAATTAAATGAAACTTAATTAATTATAAGTCTGTGTATAAATGTAATAAAGTAGCAAGGAAATGATACTGTTTAATACTGCCCTGTTCAGCACTTCTAACACTTTTTTTTCTCTGCTGTTTAGCTTCTCTCTGCTGCTAAATTCTTCCAGCTTGAAGCTTTGCAACGACACTGTGAGATCATCTGTGCAAAAAGTATAAACACAGAAAGTTGTGTGGATATTTATAATCATGCCAAGGTAAGACACCTGTATGTGTGCACATGCATGTCTCTCTACACCCCCAGTGTGTGACGTTCATATGTATCACATGCTTGTGCAATTTGTCACAAAGCTATGACCTCATCATCTGTCCCAATAGGCCATCTCACTGGGACTTATTTTAACATTCCATACCCCTAAGCCAGGAGTGGCCAACCTGAGCCTGAGAAGGAGCCAGAATTTACCAATGTACATTGCCAAAGAGCCACAGTAATACGTCAGCAGCCCCCCATCAGCCCCCCACTCCCAGTGCCTCCCACCCACCGGCAGCCCCGCCGATCAGTACCTTCCCCGCACCTCCCGATCAGCTGTTTCGTGGCATGCAGGAGGCTCTGGGTGGGGGAGGGAAAGGAGCGAGGGCATGGCAGGCTCAGGGGAGGGCACGGGAAGGGGTGGAGTGGGGGCAGGCCTGTGACAGAGCCAGGGGTTGAGCAGTGAGCACCCCCCGGCACATTGGAAAGCTGGCGTCTGTAGCTCCAGCCCCGGAGTCAGTGCCTATACAAGGAGCCGCATATTAACTTCTGAAGAGCCACGTGTGGGTCCAGAGCCACAGGTTGGCCACTCCTGCCCTAAGCCATTTCAAACAGTTGCCTTTAAAAAAAAGTAAACTTGCCTTCCTTCCTCTCGCAAATGGGGATATTCCCACTAACATTACCCTCACTGGAAGTTCAGGATGAGTGATTCTCGGCCTTAGTAGCTGACAGCTTTTCTGTATCTAAAAATGACACATTGTCAAAGCCTAATGTCCTGCAGGGATAGTAGTGAGACTTTTATATCATTGGAGAGGGAAAATGCCCAGCTTCCCAATGGAATCCAGTATTCCATAGTCCTCCCAGGGGTCCTGAATTATAGGACATTAAAGCATGACATTTTTAGACTTAGGGCTTGTCTATACTTACCGCGCTGGTTCGGGGGCAGGCAATTGAACTTCTGGGTTCGATTTAT